CCCCCCCCGTCCCTCCTGCCCCTCCTTTCCTCTGACTCCAACCAGGGGCCCTCCAACAAGCCCTCTGGACTCCGCCAGGGGTTTTGACGAGACCCTCGAGGGCCTAGTACCAGTCTCCCCATTCCCCTTCCGGGATCATTTGTTTTGCTTTATCCAGGCCTGGAGGTCAATTACATCAGACTGCTGGGTCCTGAAGATAGTGGAATCCGTCCCTCCTGCCCCTCCTTTCCTCTGACTCCAACCAGGGGCCCTCCAACAAGCCCTCTGGACTCCGCCAGGGGTTTTGACGAGACCCTCGAGGGCCTAGTACCAGTCTCCCCATTCCCCTTCCGGGATCATTTGTTTTGCTTTATCCAGGCCTGGAGGTCAATTACATCAGACTGCTGGGTCCTGAAGATAGTGGAATCGGTCTATTCCATTCCCTTCCTGTCACCCCCACCCACCCAGCCTCCCACCCCGTCCCTTTTCAGGGACCCATCTCCTGAGTCCCTACTGCAGGAGGAAGTGATCCACCTCCTCAAGCTGGGGGCCATGGAACCTGTCCCTCACGAACATTGGGGCAAGGGTTTTTACTCATGGTACTTCCTAGTCCAAAAAGCAAAAGGGGGCCTTCGCCTGATCCTATTCCTCAGGGCTCTGTACTGCTTCATCATGAAGAGGAAGTTCAAAATGGTGACCCTGGCAGCTATTATCCCTTCCCTAGCACCCGAAGACTGGTACGCCACCCTCGATCTAAAGGACGCCTATTTTCACATCGTATTTGCCCCCTTGTCAGCCGACGGTCAGGGCAGTGTGTGTGTGTGTGTTTCCGAGAAAAGGTTTAACGTCCGTGTCTTTACTGCTAGGACTGGGGTTCCGTCGCAGAGGATAGCCAGTAGGCCAACAGACGCCCCAGCGGACCTGACACCTGAGAGTGACACAAATCCAAACGCCCAAGCTCTTCCTAAACCTGTCCTTTATGACCGGCTGAAGTTCTTTTAAATTGTGCTTGGTTCTGTTACAGCAACTGAAGGAGTCAGGTTAAAACTTAAACAGTTACAGGTTTATTAAAAAGACTTATAAATCATATGGTTACAATGGCTATTGCTCTCTTTCTTAACTGTTAGCAAATACAGATTTTAAAAAATGGTTACAAAGAAAATAAAGATAGAAAATAGAAATAATGGTACCAAGTGACAGCTTAATCTTTAAAGAGCTCTAAATCTATGTGTACACGTAAGACAAAGGACCACATCCAGGTACAATTTTTACCCCTTTCTGTGCCTCTCGACTCCAGCGTGTCAGGCCAGGGCCGGTCTCTCAATTCCTAGGAAAGACGAATACGAGGTGGGCATCCCTTCTGGAACCTCGGGAGATCAAACACCTAACCCAACAAGCAGATAGATGGTAGATTGACACTCAGAGAAAATGTGCTGCTGGACTCATCTTTATACCCCTGGGGGCCCGTATCCTCTTTCTTATCTTAAGATGCCAAATTGTACTGGTCTGTTTTGTGGTGCCAGTTCTTACAAGCAAGTTTCAAGTTAATTTACACTTGCAAGAGAGAGAACTAAATTGTGTGTAGTAGACATTTTTTACTGGGCGAGAGATTCCTCCCCCCGCGGACGGCTGTGTGTTCGTATCAATATGGGTTAAGTCAAGGACACTCCTTGGCAGCCTCTTTGTCAGCAATTGGCGTATCTCTGTTTACAGCCATTCACGGTCACACAGTCCGGGCCTTCTGCTCTGTGTGCCCTGAATGCTCCAGGAAAGCAAACATGGATGTTACAAGGGGGGTTCCTGTCTGGCTACACCCCTCCACCGCAGGTTCCTGCGTTTTACAGTGGGCCGGGACCACTACCAATTTTGATACCTTTTGGTATCTCTACGGCCCCTTGGGTCTTCACCAAATGCATGGCGGTAGTGGCCACAGAACTCAGCAGAAGGGGTGTCCAAGTGTTCCCTTACTTAGACAACTGGCTCCTCTGAGGGGGATCAGATGCCCAGGTGAGGAATCATATCGCCATGGTCCTAGACCTTTTTCTAGAACTGGGTCTCCTGTTAAACCTGGACAAGTCCACCCTAGTCCCCACTCAAACAATAGAGTTCGTGGGCACTATCCTGGACTCCCGGTCCCAGAGAGCCTCCTTACCCGACTCCTGCTTCCTCATGCTGAAGGTGGAGGTCAAGTCACTTCAGAGCTTCCCGATGACTATCGCTCAGACTTGCATGTGTCTGCTCGGCCTCATGGCCACTTGCACTTATGTAGTGCAACATGCCAGACTGCACATGCGTCCCCTGCAAATGTGGCTTGCACGGGTGCACAGGCCGATCACCCACTCCTGGGACAGGGTTCTGACCGTCCCTATGAGTGTCCTCCTCGCAAGTGGACTTGCTAAGAGGAGGTCTATTCAGGAGTCCCGTTCTCCAGACCAGCTCCGTCACTCCGGCTTGTAACAGATGTGTCGGATATGGGCTGGGGAGCCCACCTCAGGGAACTGCACACTCAAGGTACATGGTCCCCACACAAAGCCTCCCTACATATTAATGTCAGGGAGCTCAGGTCAGTCCGTCTCTCCTGTGCGGTTTTCCTTCCCCACATAAGGGGCAAGTCGGTCCTCATTCTGTTGGACAACATGACAGCTGTAGCATATATAAACAAACAGGGTGGGACCCGGTCCCCCCGCCTGTGCTCTGAGGCACTCCACCTCTGGGAGCTCTGCATCGGGGCGGATATCCACCCGATGGCCTCATGCCTCCTGGGCTCCAAGAACGTCCTGGCAGACAGGTTGAGCAGGTCATTCGTGAGTCACAAGTGGTCCCTGCATTGGGACATAGCCTAATCCATTTTCCACACATGGGGGTTTCCCCACCTGGACCTGTTTGCCACAGCCCAGAACGCCAAGTGTCCCCACTATTGCTCCCTCCTGCTCCCTCCCTAGGAAAAGTAGGAATAAGAGATCCTCCGGAAAAGTCTTTATTTTCCGGAGAATCACGTCTAAACTGGCGCTTTTCTCCGGCTTATCTCCAAGCCGGAAAAAAGCGGCAGCCATTTTTAATGCAAATGCCGCGGGGGATATTTAAATCCCCCATGGATTTGCCTATTCCAAAGTCTACATTAGCATCCCTTTTCCGGAAAGGGGTCCCAATATAGACACAGCCTTTGTGTTTTTGGCAACTTGTTCCTCAAAATCTTTTTTGGCTTTTCTTGTTACATTTTGACACTTAAGTTGGAAGTGTGTCTGTTCCTTTCTATTTACCTCACTAGGATTGGACTTGCACTTTTTAAAAGATGCCTTTTTTCTCTCACTGCCTCTTTTACATGGTTATTAAGCCATGGTGGTTCTTTTTTAGGAATCTTATGTTTTATAATTTGGGGTATACATTGAAATTAGGTCTCTATTATGGTGTCCCTTTCATACAAACATTGTATTTCATGTATAATGTAAAATGAGACTACGGTTTGATGAGATCGTGATCATGGAAGATTATTACATGACATTAAAACAAACTTAGCATCAAAGCTCTTTTAAATAACGTTATTTCCTTTCCCAGGAACTGTGTGGAGTCAGAATATTTTGAGCCTGATTTATCATGAAGGCCATCGGGGTGGAACAGAAAATATAGGTCTAATAGACAGAGTTCCATGGCTGGAGTATAACTTACGTAATGTTGATTATGTCAATCGTCCATCACCTCGGCTCTTTGCTACTCACCTGCCTTGCAATTTAGTTCCAAGAGATCTCAGGAACAGGAGAGGAAAAGTAGGTGATACTATTTTCACAATTTAATTAATATTACCCAGGAAAAGTTCTGGCTTTCAGCAGTAAATCAGCCTGAATTCTCAGAGCCAGACTGTCTGCCTTTCCCACAACAACCTTTGCAGAAGTATATCTCCCTTGGATACGGATGGGGTTCATGTTACTCCAAAGCCCCATTCTATGTCCTAAAGCCTGCCAAGGGGAAGGTTCAATCTAGACCTCAGGACATCAGTGCCCAATTTTATTGGAGATCATTTTTATTGGAACTGCTGTGCTTGCTGTCTGGACCAGGAAACAGAGCTCCTTCTGTATTATGATAGCTCACCCCAAAAGAGCAATATTGATGGGTGTGATCATTATAGTCTGCTTCGTATATGTAAATTGCAGTGTCCTTGTTGTGGTGGTGTTTGCAGCTATGACCGTGTAAGTTCTGCTCTTATCCATGTTTTATGTCTCCTGCATCTTGAAATATCATGAGACTCCTTGCCAATGGAAGGGAGTTGGCTTGGGCCAGATGCAGGTCAAGAGGAATCCAGAGAAAGGATTTCACACTGAGCTTTTTCCCACTGAAGGTGTGCAGTGCTCCTCTGCCTTACGGTTGAGGAAGTGGGAGAATTGCCTCATGGGAGCAATGCCAATCTCTTACATTTCCATCTACATAGTCCATGAAAGGGGCTTCTGTGCACCCACTTCCATGTGAGACACCCTCTTAGCAGTTTCTTTATCTCGGTTGCAAAAACACTCCAGTAGGGGGAGCAGATGCACAGAACAGAACCCTACTGTGCATGAGCTCCATCAATGAACCTCTCAATGCATAGGTACCTTCCTCCTCAATTGCTTTATTGTTCAGTCCCTGTCTCCCGAGCAGAAAGACTCCCTACGACTACAGTAAAAATCAGTTGAACAACATCTCTTATGCTGCACAAAGCACAGTTTTAACTATAGACATAGGAAAATCTTGCTTAAGTCAAGCATTTTAGCATGACTTATTAAACACGATCGACAGGAATGGACTGGCAATCAAAATAGGTCTGGAAAATGGGTTGAGAATGGCCCCCTTCCCTCACTGCTCCAGCCCCCTTTGCCCTCTTTTGCCCTGATGCTCACCACCTGACCACCCTTTGCCCCCGTTTCTCTCATGCCCCTGTGCCCTCACACGTGACTTGCTCTATCTCCACCTTCCTCATGCCCACCCCTTCTTTCAAGCCTTCCCCCAGTACCTCCCCCTTTCCCCTCTAGCTCCCAATGCCCTTATCCTCTCTTCTCCCAGCATCACCCTGTCCCCCGTCCCACTGACACCTCCCCTCCTGCCCTTTTCCTCATTGTCTCCACTTGGCTCCCAGGCATTTGTCTCTCCTCCACCCTGTCCCTTCCCCTTTCTTCTCCTGACCTGTCCCCCTCCCCTCTGCACAAGCCCCTTCCTCTCCCACTCCTTTCCCCTATTTTTTCCCTCCCTCTCCCCCACCTTCTGCCTTCCAGTTTGTGGCACTGGAGTCTGTGATCAGGCCCCAGAATCCCTGCAGCCTGCAGAATCCCCAGAATCCCCAGAATCCCTGCAGCCTGCAGAAACCCTGCAGAATCCCCGGCTGCTTTCAGGGCTCAAGACCACTTGCTGGGCCTGGAGCTGGGTCGCGTGGTACAACTCTGTGCTGGGTGGTTTTAAAGTCCTGGACTGTGACGTCATGCCACTCCCGGGCGTCTCCTCTCTCAACTGTTGCGTGGCTATTGAGCATGCCACGCCTGAGCTCCCTCGGCCCAACATGCCCCATACAAATATTGGAATAAATTGCCAAGGGAGGTGGTGGAATCTCCCTCTCTGGAGATATTTAAGAACAGGTTAGATAGACATCTGTCAGGGATGGTGTAGGTGGAGCTTGGTCCTGCCTTGAGGGGGGGGGGCTGGACTCGATGACCTCTCGAGGTCCCTTCCAGTCCTATGATTCTATGGCCGATGCTGGGGAATTTAAAATGTGGGTCTGTGGCATCCCATCACAATCCCCCTCCTCTTCCAGCTCCTACCAGCCGGCCCTTCGGACGATGGCCCACCGGGAAATTCCTGGTATCCCGACGGAGCAGTCCGCCCCGACGATAGTTATTACAATTGTCTACAAATAGCTCTATCCACAATTTTATGAAAAAGGGGCAAATTCATGCTTACTGGGATTTTAGTCTGAGGATACTTTTTTCACTGAAATTATGTATCAAACACAATACACACAAACACACATCTGTTACTCACTTGATAGTGATTGGTTATTAAAAGGAAAACAAAATCTAATCCATTTATTAAAAAGTTTCAGTTCTTTTAAGGTAGTACACCTGTAACTGCAGTCTATGTTAATATTTGTGATTTTTATTATTACATCTTCCATGATTTTAAAATATTTTTGCTGCCTTCTTGCTGTGCAAAAGACCCACACAAACAATTTAAAAAGTTGAAGACCCACCAAAATGATGAATCCCACTGGGATTATCAGCCAATGGGACTATCAGCTGCAGATAGCTGGACACACGGGCAGGAGAGGATTTGGAATTAAAGAAGTGCAGTATTGACCCTGACTGTGCAGAAAGTGCTGGCAAGGCACATAAGAACCATTTATTTAAAAGCAGAATAAACAATAGTATCAAGCACATATTTTAATTCTCCTCATATGCAGAGATTTTAAGGGTTCTTTGCAAGAATAGAAATTGTATAAAACCTACAAATTTTTAGGTTTATTGTGTCCTTGTAATACGTCTGAGATTGTCACTGTTTTTACCTTACAGGTTATTTATGTTGCCAGAAACCCTAAGGATGTGGTGGTTTCCTATTTTCATTTTTCCAAGCTTGCTGTCAAACTTGAGACAATATCAGATTTTAACATTTTTCTGGAGACGTTTTTAGCTGGGAAAGGTAAGGCATCATTTCCTGCTAAAGAGCCATGACCTCTGCACTGACCACAACCCATATAAGCTAACTCTGTGGATAAATTACATAGAAGGTGGAGCTTGTCAAAATCCTGGTGCCCACTCACAACTGGTGGTCGAAGGCTTCAAGTAATGCACTAACTCCCACGGTTCACAATAGAGGTTTTATGTGAAAAGAATGGCAGAGAAGCTGCACGGTCACGTGCACCGCATCAATCAAGACAAGTCACGTCATGAATCGCAACTGGGAGTTCAGTCTGAACCCTAACAGTGATGATTTCAGTGAATTTCACCTGTACTTTTGCGCTCAGATAACAGAGGTGAGGAGATGAGGATGAGCCTTGTACAGAGAACACACACAAATACTTTTCTACCGTTCTCTTTCTAGTTTCATAGATTTCCATATCTATTTTGCCTACTCCTCAATCCCAAATCACTGCAGATTGGACCTCTGTAAATGAGTCAATCAGGGGCCCTGAAGGCACCCCTAGCTCTCCGCCCCCAGTCCCGTGCTCCCGTCACCCGGTGAACCGCCGTCCGGCGTCCCAGTCAGTTTCACTATCGGCCCAAGGGGCCTCTTCACGGTCAGAGGCCTCCCATAGCGGGGAGAGGGGGGTCCGGGCCTGCCCCCTCTCACGGACCCCAGCCCAGGGCGTCTGGCTGGCGGGGCGTCTGCCTTAATGCGCCAGCCCACAGGCTCTCTCTGCCCGCCCTGGGCTACTTCCTCTCCCCGCCGGTCTACTATGTCTGCGCCAGTGGCTTACCTCCTCGGTTTAGGTCCCACCCGCTGCGCTGTGTCGTGGAAGGGCTCTCTCCGAGCTCTCCCCTTCACCGGTGATGCTCGGGGGTTTAAATGTCCACACCGCTTGGCGCCGGAGGGGGCTCCGCCCCCCATGCATGGGTCCACTTCCGGCTGGGCAGCGAGGGCACGTGGTGATGTCGCCCCTGTGGTGACATCCCTCGGGATCGCCGTCTGGCCCGGGTACCTCGTCGTGGTGACTGTCCAGGAACAGCTGGCGCACCGCCGGCCGGGGGGCACC